GCTTCTCAAACTTTACCTTGGGTTCTGGTTGAAATGCAGATTCTGATTCAGGTCTCAGTTAAGGCCCGAGTTTCTGCATTTGTAGCAAACTCCAGATGAAGATACTTTGCAGGTGCAGACCACAGCTGGAGACATAAACCCAGAAGGAGGTTTCCTAATGACTAGGTACCTGCTAGGGGACAGATTAGGGAGAGTGTGTTACTAGCAGGGAGTATGTTGGAACAAGGGGTCGCAGAGTGCGCTTCCAACCGTGTCTACACCTCTTCACTGAGTGGGTGCGGAGAGGGAGGCTCTCACAGCATTTGGGAGACACCTTAAACAAAAGCTAAGGTCCGTGATATGAGCTTGGTGAGTTGGAGATTGTTGTTTTGAAGTTCTGGCCAGTGAATAAGGAGTGCTGCCCAGTGGAGTGATTGCTAAATTGTATTTTCACTGTCTTTAAAAATAATGAGATTGTGTGTGTGCATGTGTGTATTTTTACCACTGGACTGTCAGTATACCCCTGTGTTTAAGAAGAGAATCTGTCCATCAGTTCTTCCTCATTCTAGCCTGGGGCTAGCCTGGAGGGTGGGGCACCTGAGGGAATGCCTGGGGGTGTCAGGTGGGGAGAGTATGTAAAGCCTAGTGAGTCCATGAGGCAAGAAGGCAGAATGTGTTCTTTGGAGCAGATATGGTGAAAACTAAGGGAGACCAAACTCTCCTGTGCCTGCAGTATGAGAGACTTCAGACACAGCTGGAATACCAGGAGCCTGTGGCCAAAGGAAAGAGTGGGGGTGGGAGGTGGGGGGGGTAGTGAGAAGAGCCAGACCAAGGAGGTGGCTAGGAGGCCCCGACAGTGGTCATGGGGGCCTGAAGCCTCCTTTGAGTATCCCAGGCCTCATCCTTTAGGGCAGGGTTGGCAAAGTTTCCTGTAAAGGGCCACATAGTAAATGTGTTCAGCTTTGCAGTGTCTATCCCAGCAACGTCACTGTGCCCCAAAGTAGCCACAGTCAGGACTGAAAGGAGTGGGCATGGAGGGGTGTCAGTAAAACCATTTATGGACATTGAAATGTGAAATGTGAAGTTGATATAATTTTTTGTGCCCCCAAATCTTGTTTTTTGGGTTTCTTTCCAACCACTTAAAAATGTGGAAGACATCCATAGCTTGCTGGCTGCACAAAGACAGGAGGCAGGGTGGCTTTTGCCCACACCTGGGGTTTGCTGGATTGGTTTGACAGCATCCTGGTGGATAGACCTTTCACTGCAAAATTTTAAGAAATTGTAATAAGATGGCACAAAATCTTGCATATAAAATATGATTAGACAATAAATTAAATGGTTAAGAATGGAAAAATTGGGATGATTCCATATTAAGGACATAAAAAAACCCCACTGAGGTTGTTCTTTCTAATATGCAAAACATGCAAAAATAAACTTATTTCAAATAGTGACAAAATTCTTTTATAGCACATTACAGAGTATTCCGTTAATATCTGACCTTCACAGCAGTTAGGACAGGCATGCACCCCATTTCACAGAGGAAGAAACTCATGCCCACAGAGCTAGGGTCACTGACCCAAGGTGGCCGTGCTACAAGGGTGGGGCCGGGATTCATGTCCAGATCCTCCTCTTACAGATACTGTTTTTGTTTTTGCTTCCCCATATAGATGGTCCTTTGGAAGAACTGTATTATTACTATTTTTTAAGTAGGTGCCATGCCCAGTGTGGAGCCCAACACGGGGCTTGAACTCATGACCCTGAGATCTTGATCCCAGGGCCTAACCGACTGAGCCACTCAGGTGCCCCTAGAACTATATTCTGAAATATCCTTTCTGAGTCACTTAGAACATGGAACTTTTCTCTTTAGAGAAAGAAAACAGTAATTAGGTCCCCAGGTTATCCACAAATGACCATTTCAACTGTGCTGTAATACAACTACAGTCCGCAGAGCACCAGGAGTTCTGGGTCCTGGGGGCTGTGAGAAGTAGGAAGGAGGGGTCAAATTAATTTTTTTTGCCCATGAGTGGCCGTTGACAAAATTTCCAAGCGGTCAGTGATGTCTGTGGCACTTCTGTCTTCTTGGCCTCCTGCCCTCCCATCTCTGGCCATCAGGGTCCCTGATTTGCCCCCAAGCCCTCCTGTAACACCTTCCAGGAGCTCAGTCTCACCCAGATCTGTGGAGGAGCTTGTAAAAACTACCAATCCCTGTGGTCCATCTCCACCGTCATTAATTGGTCAGGGGTGGGGCCTGCACATTCCTTAGTTTTAAGCTTCCCAGGTGATTCAGATAGGGGGCCAGCTTTGAGAACCACTGTGGTGGCTAAACCCAAACCTCCCTTCTAGTCGTGTAGCCGACTTCAGCCAAGTGCTGGGAAGGCTGCTGATGAAGCAATTTCATGCCGTTTTGGTCTCACGCGTCCTGCATCCCATTTGGTTACTAAGCCTGTTAAACCGAACTGGTCAATATGTTTGTCCTCCCAGCTCTGATCACAACTGCCCGAGGCCAGACTGTTGTTTCTGGTCTCGAGCAATATTTCTCAATCTCTCGGTGCTGCAGAATCATTTTCCTTTTCTTCTTTAAAAGTTTTTTTCCCCCCAATGTTACTTTATCAAAGACATTGAAAACGCATTACTAGAAAAAGGAAATGAAGAGATCCACAAAGTACATGCCCCAGTCTTTTATGATGAGCTTCAACAGACATGACCCTCATTGCTCTAAAATTATCTCCGTTTCTGTACCAGTTGTAGACTAGCAGGTGGTTGGCAGCGGTGTGTGCCCACGCCAGGCCCACGCTGCGGAGGGGCCCCGGGCTGGGGTGCGTGCTCACACAGCCTCTTCACCTGTCTGCTTGCCATTCCCTGAGTAGATATGCTTTCACTTTTTAATGCTTTTGCCCCTAGTTCCCTCTGGTTTCTTATATTCTCTGCCTTCAAACCTGTGAATATGTCATCTTCTGGATGAAGCTTTCTCTGACTCCACCTGGATGATACAGATAATTTCTTCATTTGACAATTACGTGTGTGTGTGTGTGTGTGTGTGTGTCTATTTCAGCTACTGTCCTCTACCATTGCTAGGACTACCTAATTTGTGGAGCCCGGTGCATAATGAAAATGTGGGGCCTTTGTCTAAAAAACATTGAGAATTTCAGGATGGGGATAGTGTGTCTGAAATCATGTGTACAGTGTGTGCTCTGATACATTTATATATCGTAATGTGATTGCCACTGTAACAATAATTTATCACATGACATAATTATAGTACAATATAGTCTATATTCAATATACTGTGGATTAGATCTCTGTGGCTTATTTAACTACTTGTTGCAAGGGAGCCTTCTGAGCTTGGGGCCCTGTGTGGACTGCATGGATCACATGCCCCAGAGGCCAGCCCTGGCCTTATCTTTGTGCTTGCCTTACAGCACAGCATGACACCGACTTGTAATTATCTGAGTGTGCATGGAGGTGGAGAAGACTGTATGTGTCAGGATGCCTTATAGGGACCGTGAAGTCTGTGGCTTGGAGGAACTTTGGTAGGATGGGAGCCGGCTTCCTGAGGAGCATGCACACCTGCAGTGGATTTTCACTAAATGCCATTAAAAATTTTCCCACCAATAGCAGGGCTCTGGCTGCTTTACAGTGTAGGGTATGCACGTTTATGTTCCGAGCTGAAGCACTTGGCACTGTAAGCAGAGGAGAAGCTGGTTGGCATGTAGGAAAAGGACGCAGCAGGAGGACAGGGCTGTGGCGGAGATGGAGAGAGAGTGTAAGGGATGGCTCATCCCATAAGCATACTAGGAGAGTCAGCAATGGGATGTGCGACATGCATGTGCCCTCTGCCCCCATGATCTCCACTCCTGGGCCCCATGGAGGCCAAAGCTCTGTGAAGGAGCTGCCCCTTTGAAGGACACAGAACTGTTGAATCCAGAATCAAGATTGAAGCTCTTAGCCTAATTTTGGCTCCTGCATCTCTGTTTCTTCTAAGAGACGACAGTCCACCGTCAGTGTGTATCGATATGGATTGCGTGGAGCAATTTGGGCCTTAAGCAGAGCATGTCTCTCAGTGGCACAGTTTTAGCGAGTGTTACAAAATGAATGGAAAGACCGATAGGCAGCAATTTAGGGAGCTTTCTGATGCAGAAGAGCCCTGAGGGGCAATACGCCCTCTAGTGTCAGGAACTGTAATAAAAAGTGGGTGCGGAAAAGGCACCAACGGAAATTTGCTTTCCCCTCAGAGCTACTCACCGTTTTCTGTCTCCAAACTCCTAAATTTTTTGGCTCCCCCAGCGTCTCTTGCTGGGTTTCTCTTACGGTCTTTGGAGACGGGGGAGGAAAGAGAGGGAAGGAATTCTAGTCATGGGGATCAGTTTGAGGGGACTCCCCAAGACCTACTTTTTTAGGGACTAGCACTTTCCAACAGCCCTCCCAGGTGGGGCTCTCTGTTGTGCTGGATTATCTCTTGAACTTGATCTTTAGATAATAATTAATACTTGGAATGTTGGTCAATGAACAGATGCTGTTTCTAACCCAGATACCTCCTTCTAGGTATTTGCATCTCAGGCTGGGCAGCTATGACCATGAGGCGGCTCAGAGGTACTATTTGAAATAGCTGCTTCTTTGATGCTTAGTCAAATGGCCTGGACAAGCTGGCCATTGTAGGAACCTGCCCTAGGCACCCCGCACGCCCCTGAGAATACCCTTTCCATGCTGTGTGCCCCCACCTCGTCCTCTCTCCTGTTAGCACAGTTTTCATGTTGACCTTTGTGTTTGTCTTGTTCCTGACTATGGCCTTAGCTTGCTCTTCCCCTGCAGTGGGATGCAGATGAGTGTACTGAAGAAAGACTCCTTCTAAGGTGTGGCTAAATCGGAGGGTGGGGAACCTTTTCTGAAGGACTCAGAAGCAGGAGCTCTTAGAAACGCAGAGGGCCTGTGGAGGAGGAGAAAAAGCCTCTCTCCTAAGACTCTGTACCCCTGCTTACTGGTGAGGATGAGCCAAGCTTCTCGGCTGCCTTTTCTCTTTGCAGATTGGATTGGTATAATCTGCTCCCTGCGTGGCTAAGACACCGGCAGTCAGGGCTGCAGGCCAACGGCCAATACTTCATGCTGGAGGACTCCACTTTCTGGATCTTCGGGGGCTCCATGCACTATTTCCGGGTGCCCAAGGAATACTGGAAGGACCGTTTGCTGAAGATGAAAGCTTGTGGCTTGAATACCCTCACCACGTGAGTGCTGGCCCACCCCACCACCAAGCATTGGCATCTGTCGCATCTGTGTCCTGGGCTTCTTCAAGGCACCCCAGACTGTAGGTCTCCATTGTGTCAGGATGGGGGGAGCCCTGCCAGATCCTGCACGTGAGCTGTCCCTGAAGAGAATCTTTAGGCTGACCTTTGTGGGAAAAAATATAGGAGGAGCCCACCCCTCTGCATAAGTCTGCCGGGTTCGACAGCCTCCTTCCCTCACCTGCACAGCACTCTCCATTAGTGCGGATGAGAAGACAGGATGGATGTATAAGCTTTAGAGGAATAGGAAGAGCAATGGCGTACAAAGGAATACAGTGAAGGAGGTGAGTGTAGGTGTAGGAGGTGATTAAATTATCCAATTTTTTTTTTTTTTAAACAAGCACTCCAGCCCCCAATTTATTCAGCAAATGAATGTGATCTTTTTCAAAATAGCTTCCTTGGGAAAGCTGTTTTCAGGCAAAAATATATGATTACAGATCAAGCATGTGGATTTTCTTGAGTGGTTCATGAGCTAGCTTTGAAGACAATTTCTAAGAAGAATTATAAGAATGTTCTGGGCCATCACAGCATAGATGAAACAAATGTATGATTTTCCAGAAGGATTACTTAAAAGGATCCATTTATTTGCATATGTAAATTCTGGTCCTGGGGGTACATTCACACATCACAGGACTCCTAAAGCTTGTGGGAATATTGCAGGCTAAGCATTTTACCTTATAAAAGCTAGGTAATCTGTATTTTCTTAAACAGGGAACTCCTGAGTCTGAATTGGAAGCAAGCAAACCTCCTCCCCCTTTACCTGTGCACATTCTTTACAGTTGGAGAGGGCTCCACTGGAAGCTAAGGGTGGGTGGGAGTCCAGGAGAGGAGCTGCTGTGTTACCTCTGCCTCTTGAGTTGGGCCCCTTAAAGAATTTATTTTATTTCCTTATCTTCTAAAGAGAAGATAAGGAAAGAATTCTTCAGAATTTTGGTTGCTTCAGTAAAAATAGGACTGACCACTGAGGTTTCTTCTTATCTTACTTTTAATTTTTTCTCTTAAGAAGTTACTTTTTTTTTTCTCTGATGAAGAAAAAGTGGGAGAGATGGGGAGGGAGGGAGGGAGTGGGGGAGTGCATGCTCAAGCTCACCTGTGGTCACATCTTATGCTTCACCCAAATCTTACTGGCCTTCTCTCCCTTCTCCTAAGGAGATGAGGTATTAGCTCCCCAGGGACCAGCCCTGGATACTCTAAGGTCCCTAAGTCTCTTCACTTAGTTCTTGGTTCCAATCCTGACACCATTAAGACATGTATCTAAGAAATACATCTTCAACCATCATAGTGGGTTTTAGGGGTAAAGAAGGTAATCTAGAAGACAAAGTGGAATAAATGAAAGCTCATTCCTGTAATTATCTTCTATTACAGCTATGTTCCATGGAACCTCCATGAGCCAGAAAGAGGCAAATTTGACTTCTCTGGGAACCTGGACCTGGAGTAAGTGCTCTTGCTTCTTCTATGGCCTGGCCTGTGGTGGGGAGGCAGAGAGGTGGCCCCTTGGGGTTGATCAGGAACCCCATGGGACCATCTTGGTTCTGCTTTGAGAACCAGAGAGAGGCGGGTCAGGAGCCTTATTCATGGGACCCACATGCTCTCCATGAACCTGTTACTCCTGGGGGTCTGGGTCTGCCTCCTCTGAGCCCAGACCTCTTCACTGCAGCCCAGAGGTGCCTAATCCCCAGTGTCTGCCCTGCTTTGCAGTGTGGGCCAGCCACCTGTGCTGGGACAGGGGTTGCCCCTCTATGGTAGCAAGGCTGTTGGGGTCAGGTTCACTGTTAGGACCCCCCCGTACCCTGTTTGATGCCCTTCCTCCTTATGCCCCCAGTGGGGCTGTGCAGAAGGTCCTGGGCTGGGAGCAAGTGTGAACCCAGCTCCCAGGGCCTGTGAAGGGAGGGAGGAGAGGAGCTGGGCAGCTCCACCACCTTGTGATGCTGGGCTTGTCCCCACCATCCCCTCTGTGTCTTGAGAGCTGCTGACACTGACCTCCCTAGGGCCTTTGTGCTGATGGCTGCGGAGATTGGGTTGTGGGTGATTCTGCGTCCAGGCCCCTACATCTGCAGTGAGATTGACCTCGGGGGCTTGCCCAGGTGAGTGGGGCTGTGAGGGGCTTCAGCTGTGGCTTGAGTTGGACCTCTGTGCTTCTGCAAAACGGTAATCACAAATGGAGGTTTAATTTTGCTACTAAAGTATATTCTTCATTCTGTACTGAAATTCCTTTTCAGAATAAGTGATGCCCAAAGGAGCCCATTTTAAATGATGTCACTTTATTTGATAAAGTATAAGAGAAACAAATTATTGTTTTTGTTTTGTCTTATCTTCAAATCTCAGGCTTTAATGAATTATGGAGTAGAAATCTGGACGGTAATCACCTGGTACCACATTCATTCCTTGTCCTCATCATTACTGCCGTTAATTTTCAGCAAAAAGACTTTCTTTTAATAGGCATAATCTTTCCCATCCTCAGGGTGTTCCAGATGGTTAGATTCACTTTCTCCCTACCCCATGCAGCCCCAAGGGGGGAGAAGGCTGGTCCTGTTTGCCTTGTGGTCTCCTTCGGGAATGGCCTCTCCCCACAGCACAGCCACCAGGCCAGGCCTTGTTTTCTCTCTCGTCTCCAGCGCGACCCATCCCTTCCCTAGGGATCCCAAGCAGGCTCTACCTCCATCTCCTTCCCTCTCTAGGATCACTTCTCTGTCTCTGTGCCCTTGACAAGGCTGGGCACACAGCCAGAGTGCCCTCCCCCTGCACCTAGGGATTAGAAATCTGTGTGTCAGCGATGTCCTCTGGCTCAGCCGGAGCTGCCAGGAGGATTTAAGTGTTAGCTCAGAAGCAGCGGGAGCTCCAGCACTCAGCCCTCCTCCTGGGCAGCACTATCCATTCAGGTCCTGGCACTAGGGCACACCCCAGGGAGGCCCAAACAAGCAGAGGCCCAGTGTTGATGAGAAGCTAGACCCTTTTAGGTGACATGGAGGGTGGAGGTATCTAGAGGAAGCTGCTCTCTCCTTAAACATTTTTACCTAACATAAACTGATAATTTTCTGACCCTGTTCAGGACTTCCAAATTAGGACAAGAAGCATCAGAGCCTTTATAAGAAAATATAAGTGTTTTCTCAGAATTTCAAGTGAGAAGGAAAAGTTCCTGACTCCAGCTCTGGAAGGAATGATCTGTGTACACCTGGGGAATACGATCACAATGGACGGGTTGTGGGAAGCATTCACCTTTTCTTGCTCATCAGCAACTCCCCTGAGCTGAGCTCTGAAGAGCTGAGGAGGCTGATGCTAATGAGCGCCCCGGGTCAGCCTAGAGAGAAGTGGGGAGAAGTGGGATTAGCCTCTCATGGCCTCTGTGTCAGGCCTGGTTTTCTGGGTGACACTGGAAGGTTACATCTGGCCCCAGTGATTCCTTAACCCCTTTGGCTTCACCCCTTTGTAATGAGATGTTAGAATAAATGCTTCAACACTGGGCTTGAGTTCAGTGAAAAGCTTTTCTCACTCTGACTGGCAGCCAGACCAATAGCCACAAAGCTGGAAATAAAATCCCTTGCAGTGCGGGTTGTGTTTTCATAGGGAAGCAGTGCAGAGTGTGGGGCTGGAGCTGTGGCAGAGTTTGCCTCTGGATCTGTTTGCACAATCTCCTGCCTTCCTGGCTGAGTGGAGGTAGTGGCGTGGGAATGGTCCCGCTCCCCCCAGGACTCTGAAGCTGCTTCTTTTCTCCCCACCATCATCCTGCCCAGGACAAACCCACAAACAGTGCAACTAATTCCCACCCCCCTTTTATTCAAGCTGGTTACTCCAAGACTCTGGCATGAGGCTGAGAACAACTTACAAGGGCTTCACCGAAGCAGTGGACCTTTATTTTGATCACCTGATGTCCAGGGTGGTGCCACTCCAGGTAAAAGCGAGGAGCATCCTCTTTGATCTTCAACTGTCTTCTTACTGGGAGTAAATAGTCCTAGGGGAGCTCTCAGACCAGGGGCTCACAGTTCCTTCCAACACAGGAGTGCATTCTTCCCCATTGCCTGAGATCTATAATTGGACGGGTTTGTAATAGTTGTCTTTTAAAAGATGTATTTCGGTGTTGTCTTAGGTGGTATAGTGCTGAAGTGATAGACAGGCGCAAGGACCTACGTTTATCCAGACAGTGTCAGAGCTGCCACATGTGGTGTGTTGGTAACTGAAAAACCCACCAACTGGTGTCCCAATAGTGTACTAACCGGCTCAGTCCTACATGGAGAGGAGCGTAAGTGGATGGGCCCTTACCTGTAAGACAGCAGGACTTTTTGTAGTTATAACAGTTGATGACTTTTCATGGTACATCTTTTGCTACCTACCAAAAAGGGGCTGTGTATGGTATACATTTTATTCAAAACATAGGTGATAAAAATGAATTTTGGGGAGAAAGTATCTTATCATTGCATGTTATATTTGGAAGCAATAAAAAGGCAGGAATAGGAATAATCAATCCAGTAGCTTATATAAAAATTAGAAGAGTCATGCTGAGAAATTAGTACATTTATAAAAAATTAGTACCTCTATAAAAATTGCTCTTGAGTCAGTGGTTTGGAATGTTCACAGCACACATAGATCAAAGGAATTACTTGACCATTTGTAGGGTAGGCAAATAAAACACAGGGTATTCAGTTAAATTTGAATTTCAGATAAACAAGGAATATGTTTTTTAGTATAAATATGTCTTAAATATTGCATGGAACATACCTA